CTTTTTCTATTTGGCTTATAGTTTCTTCCTGTTATTGCTACAGATAAATAAAAGATTTCAAATGTCTTATGCAACAAATTATTATATAATATACTAAAAGTAGTATTAACAATAACTATGCGGTGAGATTTTGGAACAATAAAAGTATGCTCTAAAAAGGAAAAGGAAGGCATGATCAGATCAAAATTGAAAATGTTTCTCTTATTTTTTTTAACATCCTAATATATAAAATCCAGGAATCAAACCAGTACGCCCATACTTATATCCTGACTTTAACCTGCAGTGGCATCTAATTCCAGTTCTTTTGGTGTAACTTAACCAACTCCTAGCTGAGGAACTGTTGGCAGTTGATAGCTACTAGCAGAGAGAGTTTTCTCTTAGATGCTGGCCCTGGAAAGGTGACCTCATGCCAGGGGAAGCCCACATATCCACATATGTGGGAAGCACAAATGGAACTCAGTGAGTGAAAAAAAAAGGACACAAAGTTGGTTAGGTGGGGAATGGAAGGAATTGGGAGAGGGATGAATATGATCAAGGCATGTATGTAATTCTCAAAGAGAAAATTAAATAAAAATTTTAAAAGAATAACGGACGTGAATAAATATTGAATATAGAAATGCTAATAAAATTTCATAAAAGGTTAAAAAAATCCAGCAACTTAGGAGATGGCTTAGTGGATAAAATGCTTCCTGCATAAGCTTCAGGACCTGAGTTCGGATCTCATGCACCCAAATGAAACCACACCTATAATAAAAACTAGTACAGGCCCAGAGCAGAGCAGCAAAGCAAGAGAGGCCTGAAGCATGCTGTTCAGCCAGTCCAGCCAAAATGGTGAGCTCCAGGTCAGTGAGAGACCCTGTCTGAAAAAATAACGTGGAGAGGAAAAGAGATATAGAGACCTAAAAACACCCTATGGCTTACAACACATACACACAAACATATAAATGTACACATGCATACACACTTACATGAAACACACACACATATACACACATCTAATCTATGAATTCAGGAATGTTTTTTCTTTTTAATGGAGACAGAGAGATAGCTCACGTGGTAAAGGTGCTTACTCCTAACCCTGGTGACCTGGGTTCAATCCACTGTCCTCCACATAGGCACCATGGGCACTCCCATGCTCATACCCACAAATTAAACATAGTTGTTGTTTTGTTTTTTATTAAAGATAGTATGCTTAGAAGCAGCTAATATCATGTCTCTTATTCTAAGCACCATACATATATTATTCATGGTAATTGTCCTAGTGTCTCCACAGAGTAGGTTTTATTGAAATCATTATGATGCTAGTAGTTGGTAGAACTCTTCTAACTGAAAGCGACATTTTTACACTGTAGAGACAGAGTGGGTTCTATTGAAATCATCATGACACTAGTAGATGGTAGAACTATTCTAACTGAAAGTGACATTTTTATCTATGGTGTTTACTTTCTCTGGTGAGGGACTCCATAAGGTAACAGTGAGTAGGAGAGAATCAACAGAATCCTTGCATCAAGGGAAAACCTAATAGTGGGGAGACTACCCTGCAAGGATTCTTAAGGTAAAAATCAAGAAATGACACTAACTGGAATCTTTTGTGACTAGCTCATCGGTTCGTTGTTCTGTGATGTCTCAGTACCTGTCTATCATATCAATGTCTGTTATGCATAAGATGTATAACTGTTTATAGAAACTGAGAATGACACAGCGCTCTAAAAGCTTTTTTTCCCCTGCTTCCTCAAAGTGCACCTATGCTAATGCCTTTTCATTCAAGACAGTGGGAAAATAACAAATTGGATGCAAAGATAAAAAGGAAGGGCTGTAGAAATTCAGAATAAGCAGATGGTTAACTATTTTACCAAAAGGAATATGTGCACATGAGCTTTGCCACATGAGTGACTAGTACAACTAGGAAGCGTAAGGAACCTCCTCACCTGTTTAGGAGTGATTACGTAAGTAGATAAAACAAGGCAAACGTGTGGTGGACAATCTAAATCAGTAAGCAGACACTTAAGGAGAGAAAACTAAAGTCTAGCATGTAATGAATGGTGTGTGAGAAGGCGGGAAAATGCTGTCATAAATGTGGGTCCTGGTTGTATAACTAAGGATTCTCTAATTTTTTTAATAGAATAGTTATTCACAACTTTGAGGGCAGAGAAGTGACAAAATGGTTCTAAACATGTTACTTCTAAAAGCATATACAAACAGAAATGAAGAAAGATTTCAAGGCTAAGGGGTAGAACATTGGCAGTATGAGGAAAGAGGAATAAAGGGACAGAAAGGGCCAAATGGAGTGGGAGATGAGAGAGCGTGGGAGAGAACGGAATATGGGGGAGGGATTACTGACACTAAAGACCTTTGAAAATGCCTTATAGAAACCTACTGGAGAAGCTCCCGAAAGTACATACATATACATACACATATACATATACGGATACATATACATACTTACAAGGAGTTTAATGGTGGTGTTACCCTCTACCAGGACAGTCCCTCTCCCAGAGACCATAGTCCTTTAAATTAAAAGACCAGTATCAGATGTGGGTTGCCTCTCTGAGTTATTAGGCACTGAGGCACCATAGACACACCCCTGACAAAATAAAGAACTTACATGTTATTGCCATTGATTTTGGTTACCTTCCAGACCTTGATAGTAAAATCCTTTTTTTTGAAGACACCATATACTTGAACCATAGGACATGAAAACTATCAAGCTGATACTCACCTGGAGGGTCTATCCTTGCTGACTAATTTTCATGGTTCTGGAAGGTTCTATGCAATGCTAATGGCAAAGAAAAGTCATCAGAAGTCTTATTCATCTGTGAACACTGGAAGCTATGATAACTGCTATCCTGGTAAAATATGTCTACTGCTGTAATAGTGGCACAGATGTTATGGGACTAACCAAAAACATTCTGGCTGGATTTAAAGTCAACATCACAAGATGGAATGCATGCCTAGGATTGTTAACTGGGCCAAAATTACATAACTGGCTAGGTCATGGGCCCTAGGGAACAACCTAGTGTTGTTTGTTTTTGCTTTTTGGGGGAGCCCACTACCCACCTCTTAAACAAATCACACAGGGAGGCTTATTATCACTTATAAATTCCCGACCTTAGCTTGGCTTGTTTCTAGCCAGCTTTACTTAACTTTAAATTATCTTGTCTATCTTGCCTCTGGGCTTTTATCTTTCTCTATTCCTGTGTACTTTTCTTTGTTTCTTACTCCATGGCTTGCTGTGTAGCTGAGGGGCTCTGATGTCCCCCTCCTTCACTGGCTACTTCTTCCTCTTCTCCCAGATTTCTCTTTCTATATATTCTGTCTGCCTGTCAGCTCCACCTATCCTTTCTCCTGCCTCACCATTGACTGTTCAGCTCTTTATTAGACCATCAGGTGTTTTAGACAGGCACAATAACATAGCTTCACAGAGTTAAACAAATGCAACATGAACAAAAGTAACACTCCTTAGAATAATATTCCCCAACAACCTAATATTATTCTGCTAACTAGTAGCAATATGGTGCCCCCTATATTCTTATCTTTATACCCATAGATTAGGACATCTCTCAGCCGGCATCAGAGAAGATGCTTTTGGCAGTGGTAATTAATATGGAGGTCCACAACTGACCAGCCTGCAGAGAATAAGAAACTAAGAGGCTCACACACTAGGGTGCTTAGCTCTAAATGAGACATCTGCATCATACCTCCTCTCCCTAAGGCTCAGGAATCATTTCAGAAGAGAAAGTGAAAACACTGTAAAAAGGCATGGGTAGTGGACTTCTATAGTAAAGCCATATTTGCCGGACAGCAGAGGGTCATTGAACACATAAATCTGTGACTTGCATAATACATCAAGCTAGCCAAACTACTTTACATGAATGAGCGAGGTGGGGGTCATGGAATCTCACTCCTAGCTCAAGAGTTATTAGCAATTGATGGAAACTGGGGAGGGAGAGCCAGTTTTTTATAAGACCCCTGAGAGGCTACCCGTGTTTTAGTAGATGGTCCTGTACCCATGAACATACACACACAGCACTTAAGTGGACTTTATGGGTTTACTAAAAACAGCACATGGAATAGGGAGGAAAAGGCAATGGGGAGGGTGTTAAAGGGGTAAGGGGAGGAATTAGGAAGAAATGGGGGTGGATTTGACCCAAGTATCTATGTGCATAGAGGCAGCTGTAAAATTCTCAAACATCAATAAGAAAAAGACTTGAGAAAACGGTTGAAGTCACAATTATATGACATAGTAAATAGAACTGAGGCTGCTGTCTTGAAGTGTAGCTGAAGGGATCTAAGATCCATTGCAAAGGTAGAAGGATAGAATATAATAATCTAATCATGGGTCTAATGTTCCGTCAAGGGTAAATGAGGCTTCATTTATCATTTTTGATAGCATGTAGGTACTGATGATTTTTTTATGCCTCTGATTTCTATATTATGCTTAGTTGCAGCCCAAATCGAGAGATGTGACAATCTAGCGTAGAATTATTTAAATTGAAAACTATTTCATGATACTTTGTCTAAAATACAATGTAGATCTGCAAGGCATAAATGGTAGTCAGACCCCAGTTGGCTGTTAGTGTTTGGGAGTTCTCTTTGGATAGCGGCTGACGTATTGCCCCTGTTAGAACATGTTGCAATAAAATGTGCAGTGTAATGTCATGCCAATAAAAGTAGAATGTGTTTTGAGCACAGTGGAAATTTCGAGGACCTATTCCTTGTTAAACTTGAGATTTTTAATAGTATAAATTTGAAGTGTCTCTTACATAGTATTGTGTTCAGAATATTGTCTTCCACTGCTGTGTTTTCCAAGAATTCTCCAAAGCAGATCCTGACCAAAATGTCACTTAACAAATGTCACAAAAGTATTGCTTCATTTTTATCACATCTGGATTTTGTGCCATATGTATGAAAGACATTTTAAAATATTCCATGTTGAAACTTAAAACCATCTATACTTTCCGTTGGAAAAAACTAAAAAGAGATTCACTTTTGTTTTGCAGTGATCGGCACGTTGGTAAAATTTATTCCAAATGTTCTTCCTTTCTGGATTATGTCAGAATGTCTCTAAAGAAGCTTGGATTAGATGAGTCCAAGGTCAGTGTATGATTACCATTTATTTTCACAAAATACAAGAATTCTTGGTAGGCTAGTGGATTGAGGCAATGCAACATCATTTGCTTTCTACTTTTCTCCCTCTTATAAAAACTCTAAATTATATCAAAATTAAACCTCTATTACCTTTTTTGCAATTCATCTTTCCTGACAAATGTATAGAAAGTTTATTATTGTGTATCACCAAAGCAACTCTTTCTTTAGGTTTTTTTTTAAGTTAAAGGAATGTTTAATTTCACTAAATAAAATGGAGTTAAAAAGCAGAACATTGAACACTGTAAATGGAAATTAGAATTGAACAAAGAAGAAATGATTAATTTTAAAATCATTTACTTCTAATTTTATGGCTAGTTATTACTTGAAATATTAAATTTAGAATGCCTCTAAGTGTGAGCATTCTGTTAAGTTAGAACATCACAGTAGCTATGAGCTAACATTGTTGATAATGTTATTGAAAGTAAATAGTAAGCTAATTGACTCAGAAAAAAATCTCAATATAATTCAAATTATACATTATCTAAAAAAATTAAATTGCACTACTGTTACTCTGACATATTAAATTGATTGTAAATTAGAAAATTAGTCTGTTTTCTGGTTGCTGTGATAAAAAAATGCCCTAACAGAAGCTTTAGATAAAAAGGTTAATTTTTAACTCACAACTCCAGGTTACATACTTCCATAATAGCAAAGTCATTTGCTTGAAATTTTTGCTTGAAGTCAGAGGTAGGAGCTTGAAGAAGTTGGTCATATCATATCCATAATCAAGGACAGAGAGCAACGACTACATCAGCTCAGTTTCTCCACTGTTATGTAGTTCAGCATCCCCTGCCTATGGACTGGTGCTACCCACAGTGAGTGCATCTTTCCACCCCAGTTTTTTAATATAGTCAATATAATCCCAAAGACATGCTCAAGGACCAATATGGTGTAGATAGTCCTACATCGAGACTCTTCCTACGTGATTCTAGATTATGTCACTGATAATTAAAACTAACCATCACAATATGAAATTATTCTTTTGAAAGAGGATACTTACACAGACATACTGTACCTAAGTTAAAATGTATGATTGTCTACCATACCATTGTCATTTTGGTCTTGTTTATTTATTTCTGAAAGCAACTAGACTAGTAGACATTTTGTTGCTGTCTCCCCTATCAAATGGTTATGAAATCTGTACGACTTAGGAATAAACAAATGAGAAGATACATGTAAAACTCACCCCATATTTATATGTAATTGCTGACTGCATGACACTACTACTTGCTGCTTATCTCTACTGCTGTATTATTAGTAAATAACATAATTGATAGAATTCTCATAAATAGTTTTACTTAATAAAATGAAGCTACTTTTGTGTGAATGATTGAATACGTCCACTATAACTTACTTAAACTGAAAACATACAGTCCTTTTCCAAAAACGAAACAGGAAAACATCCAGAAGAATTCATGTTTATCCTCCTTTCGGACTTTGTCTTCTCAAGTTTATTATTATTAATAGTAACCACAGTAGAGGTTCTTTCCTACATCTGTTAATGTTTCATTATTAGAATATTAATTATGGTTAACATTTACTAAACACTGACTTGTGATTGATGCTATGCTGAGAATATGACAGTGCCTTGTTTACTCTTCACAAGACATTTGCAGTAGACAGCTGAAATCATAAGGTGAACCACTGACTCCCTCAGACCGGAGGGAGACAGGAGAGAGAGTACATATAGGAGCAAACTCCAAATATAAGTTTGGTAGGAAACACGAACCACGGTGAGAAATCCTGCCAGCTTATCAGAGGCTCAGTGTGGACAGTTGTGAGGAGGAAGCACTAGAGGTGTCCAGACAGTTTTAAGGGGTGCCACACTTTTGTGAGCTTTGCCTCTGACTATAACCTAGTTCTGATGAACATTAGAGAAGAATCCCCTCATTCTTGCGGCAAAGGAAATGAAAGAATAATCATTTTAAAGTAAGTCAGGGCTTTCTGTTCTTACTGAGACCGGCTTCTAGAGAGACTGTGCTTAATCAGAACCCGACTGCTGGAGTTTTGCCCACACCTAACTGAAGAGGGGAAAGCGAGTATCCAACATTAGCCAATTCCGTCAATCCTGCCCCACCCAAGAAGGCGTGAAAATACCAAGAAGTGCTGGTGAAGTTCATAGTCAAGAAACAGGTTCATTGACAGACTGAAATCCAAGTGTAAGAGTACAAAACACTTCTTACCACCACACTACTAATGGCATAGTTCATAACAATTCAGAACAGTACTTTTTATACGGTACATCACTTTTGAATACCAAAAATTTATAAGGCATACTAAAGACAATAAACACAGTTTGAAGAGATGGAACTCATCACAACCACATTGAGCGATGAAAATGACAGTGGAAATGTTAATCTGCAGTTGCAAATTGGGTAATATGCCAAAGGTTTGAATTAATAATCTGGACAGCAGACAGGAGCAGATGGACGGTGGAAGCGGAGAGATCTTGGACAGTCTAAGATAAAATTTTAAGAAGATTTTAGAAGTCATTCAAATTACTATACCCAGGCAGAAAGATTATGAAAGCCAGAGGTGGTGGATGCCTCCAAGGAAACAGAGTCTTGCAGACACGACAGGACTGATGCACGTATGAACTCACACAGACTGTGACAGCACCTGCAAGACCTGCACAGGTTCAGTGTAGAAAAGTCCCAGCACTGGGAAGGAGAAGTGGCACAGTCCTGCCTCTAACCAAGAAGTTATTTGTAATTAATACCTCCTGGGAAAGGGAACAGCTCTCCAGTGGGGTGTCGGCCACACTCTGCAGCAGGCAGCAGGCAGCAGGCTTCGGAGTAGCTGGCCAACACAAAGCACACTCCGTGGTGTGTGTGTGTGTGTGTGTGTGTGTGTGTGTGTGTGTGTGTGTGTGTGTGTTGGTGGATATTTTGTTTCATTTTTTTTCTTGTTTTTTGTTTTGATGTTCATTTTTTATTTTGTTTCTATTTCTGGAGAGAAAAAGAGAAAGAACACAAAGTGTTCAGTGGTAGCAAAGTGGGAAGGATCTGGAAGAAATTGGAGGAAGCAGAAAACAGGATCAAAATATGTCGTATGGACGAAAAAGAAGTATTCCTGAATAAATGTGTGAGTGAATGAAGAAAAACTACTGTAAAGAAAAGGAGTAAATTTTTGTGACTTTCTAGTAGACCAGACACAGCAGAGGAAAGAACCTCTGAGGTTGAGAATAGGGGAGTAGCAAACTCATAGAACTGCAAAACAGAAAACCCAGGCCCGAAATAAATAAATAAATAAATAAATAAATAAATAAAGGAAGCCGAGGACTGGAAATGGTAAATGAAGTACAAATACATATTGTAGTCTTATCAGAATGAAGACAATAAAGGAACAAGGGAAATAATTGAATTGCTAACAATGGAAGTGTCTCCTGTTGGCTAGTCACCAAACCACAGATCCAGAAAACAGAGGCCACCATCAGACCACAGATTCAGAAAACAGACCACCAACAAACCACCGATCCACAAAACAGAGACCACCAACAAACCACCGATCCACAAAACAGAGACCACCAAGTAAGACAAGTAACAAAAACCACATCAAGACAGATATTTTTAATCAACAGAAAAGTCACAGCTAAAGAAAAAGAAATGGGAAGAAGATAAAGATGCTCTTATCGTTTATCTATGGATGAGCAAAGATGAAAATTACTTCTAAATTCATCTCAGAAACCACACGAACAGTAAGAGAGTAAAGGAAATATTTTAAATGTTGAGAGAAGGGAGCGTTGACATACTTTAGGCTGTGAAATGATTATTCAGAAAATGAAACATTTTTCAAACTAATAAAACTTGAAGGAAGCTGGGTTTAGCATTCCAGTACCATTGCATATGGTCCAGTCCAGTAACAGAATGTAAAAGAACAATCACATGGTCATATGTGTAGATATTTTTTTGTAGAATCATTTGTACATTGATGGAAAATAGCTCCAAAAAGCCTGTTTACAACACTACATTTAATGTGAAAAACACAAAGTTTTCTTGGTAAGATGAGAAACAAGACAAGATTATTTTTCCTCCATGCTTTTCAACATCATATTATAATACTGTCTAGTGCATTAAGAGAAGAAAGGGAAGTGAATGGTATCCTGATTGGAAAGAAAGAAAACTGTCCTTGTTTCAAGATGCCATGATCATCTTCATTAAAAAAAAAAAAAATGAAATAATGAGCAATTAAGATAATAAAATTAAGCAAGGTAGGTTATAAAGACAATGCACAGAAAATTATTTTCCTCAAAACCAACAATGGACAAGTTAAATTTGAAATTAAGATACAGCAGCATTTATATGAGCACACTACCCCAAAGTGAAATATATAGATTTTCTAATAGAATACAATCAAAATGTCTTTAAGATAAGAACCAAAACTGAGAAATAAAGAGGAGAGATAGTCTATGAAGGAGGATTTACTATTCTCAAGATGTCAGCACTTCCCAACTTGGATCTGTTTCAGTATAATCTGAGTCAATATTTCAGGAAGTTATTTTATGGATGTTGACAAACTGTTCTTAAGTCATATATATAGAAAGGCAAAAGAATCAGAAAAGCTAACAATATTAAATGAAATCAAAGCTAAAGGATTGTTACTGGGTGGCTTTAAGATTTATGATAAAGACAAGTTGATATTTGCAGACTAATAGACAAATGGATCAAGGAACAGAATTGAGAGCCCAGAAATGGGCCCACACAGATGCAGCCAGGTGTTGTTGTGCAGCAAACTGATGCAGGCAGTACAGTAGAGCGAAGAGCCTCCTTCTCACCAGGAGGCGTTCAGGACACACACAAGTAGAAAAGTGAATCTAGGAACAAATTACATCTTTCCCAAACTCAAAGTGAATCACATATGTAAATGTGAAATACAAGTCTATGACATTTCTGGAAGATAGCAAGAGAGTCTATTTTGATGTAATGGTGATTTTTCGTCAAAAGTCA